TAAGATAATTTAAGCAATAATTTAAAGCCAAATAATTATAGTGTGTACACTTATATTCTAGATTATTTTTGTAATATCTTGTGATACTCTTTTGGAAAATCAATAAATAAATCATCTTGCCTGTCAAACCAAATGACCAAATTATAAATTTACTAAGGTTAGAGAACTCTTTTTATACTAGTTTTTTCCCAATTCTCTCAAAATCTAGCACAGTCCATTGAGTAGAAGAGTTGCTTAAATAACAATATTTTTGTTCAATAAATAACTTCTAAGAGCTTGAAATATTAAAAAAAATACACCTAGTATTTAAGAAGTATATATTTCTGAGCTTTTCAAGTTCCACAGTTTTGATTTTCTTTAATTATTTTTAATTCCTTTTTAGTGTTACTCAAATTTATTTACAAAGTTTGAATACACTGTCTTTCACAAAAGATCATTCTCATTTCCTTCACCCCACCCACCCATTGAATTGTGAAACACTATGATTAACAGGCTACCCCCTTCCATCCTCACCCACTATTTTCACCCTCCACATTCTCCCCTCCTTCCCCCGCCCTGCCTTGGATTCTCATATTCATTCTACAATAATGGTTTTATTGTTTAATTAATTTGACAATTCTCAACAATTTAATTATACTAAAAAATTGAAAGGAGATACTATTGGCACTGCAATTTACAAATGAGAAAACAAAGACTAAGAACAGTCAAGTACCTTTAAAGATTCCACAGTTTGAGACCCCTGAGCTAGGATTATAAACTCGAATATACCAATATCTTCTCCATTCTATCTAAGCTCCCTTTCCCCAGGGATGCAGGGTCTCTTTGGTGTTGTTGTTAGGTACTATAGAGTGCACCATGATTCATAACCAATGATTCTATGAACAACAGATCTCAATCTTGATCTATGCCATCTTCATCATCTCTGCTATATAGAGCCCATTGTTACAGACACTGTGTCAATCCATCTTGTTAAGTGTCTTCATCTCTTTCTCTGACTCTCCAACTTTCCAAGCATTATGTCTTTCCCCAGCACTGTTCCTACCTAAAAATCTATTCTAAGTATGAGGGGGTAAACTTTCACCATCCCTAACTCTAACTAGCACCCGATATGATGGTTTTTAAGACGTATTTGTTCATTCTTTTTTGTGGTTCATGGGATGTGTAGGGATCTTTTCCAACACCACAACTCAAAGGCATTGATTCTTCTGCTGTCATCCTCATCTATTTTGCAAATATCATCTGCATAGCAAGTAACTGAAAAGAGCATAGCTTGAGTCAGATGCATCTTAGTCTCAAAACTGGCCTTGCTGCTTTTTAGCACTTTGGAGACTTAAGTACGTGTAAATTAAAGGCAAGTTCCATCGACTAAACAAACATAGGCCTTCTCTTTGAAATAAGGGAATACACAAGACAAAGGACAGAGGGCAAGAAGCAAAGAACAAAAGAACAACAAAAAAATTTGAAAATTTGCTGAAATAATTTTGAAAAATATTTTGAATACTAACAACCTGTCCAAATAAAGATAAAAATTAATCTTTCTTTTTTCTTTCTTTCTTTTCTTTCTTCCTTTCTTTCTTTCTTTCTTTCTTTCTCACTCTCTCTCACACACACACTCACATACTCACACATGACCACCTTGAATAGCAATTAATGATACACTTAGAAATTCTGCAAGCCCTTATTAGGCCAGATGTTTCTCTTTGATTTCTCACAGGATTTAATGAGTGCAAAGTAGCTCTGTTGGCATAGTCTGTAGGATATCATACTGTTACTGTGAAAGTTGTGCTTCTCTGGATGTTCAAATAAAAGATACCCTGTGATTCATAGCCTCAGAAACCCTATGGAGTGTCAACTATGGTCTTGTTCCAACTCAGTGGCAATTAGGGAGTTTTAATTTGTTGTTGTTATTTGCTGTCAAGTCATTTGTAACTCATAGCAAGCTTGTGTACAACAGCTCTGAACACTGCTCTATTTTGAGCCAACTTCATTGTCTCTTACACACCTACTCCCATTACTCCAGGCACTGAACCAATCCATCTTGTGCAGGGTCTTCCTCTCTTATGCTGTTCCTACACCTTTCTAAGCATGATGTCCTTCTCCAAGGACTGGGCCCTCCTGGCAGCATACACTAAGTAAGTGAGATTGAGCTTCAAAAACCCTTGTCTCCAAGGAGCAGCCTGATTTCACATTCTCCAGGATAGACCTGTTTGTTCTCTTCGCATTCCATGGAATGTTCAGTACTCTTCTCTAGAAGCAGAACTCAAAGACATTGATTCTTCTTCTGTCATCCTTAAGTCATTGCCTGATTCTCTGATACATAGCAAGTAATTCTGAAGACCTTGTTTTGGATCAGACCCACCTTAGTCTCTAGACTGTCAATTTTGCTTTTCAGTACTTTTCGCTGAGGTCCATGACAACAGATTTTCCCAGTGCAATTTGTCCTTGAGTTCTTGAGTGCTAGTACCAAGAATGTTGATTGTGGAGCCAAGAAAGCTAAAGTTATTAACAATCTCAGTCTCTTCTAGGTCTATCATGATGCTACCAACTGGCCCAGTGGTGAGAATGATTGTTTTCTTGATGTTGAGCTTCAATTGACATTGGAGGTTGCAGTCCTTGACCCTCTGCAGCAAACATTTCAGATCCTCATCAGTTTCATCAACCAAGGATGTGTCATCTGCATGATGCAGATTATTGATAACTCTTTCTCCAATCCCGATGTCACATTCCTCCTCATAAAGTCCAGCCCTCCAGATGATATGTTCAGCATATACGTTGAAAAGGTATGGAGATAAGATGCATCCCTGGCATAAAAATCCTTGATTTTGAACCATGCAGTGTTTCCTTGCTTTGTTTTACAACTGCTTCCTGGTTCAAGCTTGCATATCTCTCAAAGCCCATCTTTATCACATGTGTGTTTTGTGGTGTTGTTGTTGTTAGGTGCTAGCAAGTCACCTGCAACTCATAGCAACCCTATGTACAATAGCCCTAAAGCCTGCTCTATCCTGTGCCAATCTCACTGTCTCTGACACACCTACCTACATTACCCCAGTCACTGAATCAATCCACCTCATAGAGGGTCTTCCTTTCCTGCACTGTCCCTCCACCCTCCCAAGCATGACGTTTTTCTCTAAGGACTGGTCCCTCCTTGAAACATGTCCACAGTATGTCAGATGACGCTTCAGAATCCTTGCCTCTAGGGAGCAGTCCAGTTTATCCCTCTCCAGGATGAATCTGCTAATTTTCTTAGCAGTCCAAGGCACATTTAATACACTTCTCCAGCACCACAGCTCAAAGGCATCAATTCTCCTTCTATCCTCCCTATTGATTGTCCAGGTCTCTGATGCATAGCAAGTGATTGCAAGGACCACAGCCTGTATCAGATGCACCTTAGTCTCCAGAGTAACACTATTGTTCTTCAGAACTTTGGAGAGGTCCCTAACAGCAGACTTTCCCATTGCAATACATCTTCTAATTTCCTGGCTGCTGGTGCCAAGAGTGTTGACTGTGGAGCCAAGCAAACTAAAGCTGTGAACAATC